GAACAACCCTTCTAAATATTGTAATGAGATAAAAACATCAAATATAAATTTCATAATCTTCTGAAAATTATGAGACGAATAGTCCTTTTGTGGTTTATCCACACGTGGATCATACTATGATCTCTTGACATGAGAATCAAACAAAAATACTTTATCTATATAGCCATTAAAATTAGTCTTGGGTACCTTCAAATAAAATAATATTACCTCCATGACACCCTTAAAGTAATGAAGAATATTTTTAATTCCATTCCAACATCTTTATGTTGATAAAGAACTATATCATGCTAATCAGCAAATGATATATCATATTCTGTATGACTAGATATATAAATGCTTCAGTAATACTAAAATACGATACTTTTGGACCAAGTGTTTATTCATTATCTTCTAGAGGTCTAAATCGATCTTTAGTCCACATCTAAAGATCTTGCAACTACTAAAACATATAATGGATGTTGCTTATCCACATAATGGATGTGACTTATCTATATGTATTCTTCTAAAAGCTTTCATTTCAAATTTTTTCTTTAAGTAATCCGTAACTTTTGAAAACTCATCAAGAGTTCTGATATATCATTATAAATAATACTGACAACAAACTCATTATGAATCTTTTCACAAATAGACAAGTTAGAATAAGTTTACATCATTCATTCAGTTGATATTAACTACATATATCTCATATAGAGACTTACTTCAATAGTGTTCTTGAGAACATAATTGAATGCTTCTAGAAACTTAAATCCTTCAAGGATTTTCATACATTATGATCCATATCTATTCATGTATTGGATCATTTATATTTATACAAGGATTTAGATCCTTATGCAATTCATATATAATTTCACTATATAGTGAGTCACTGTATTTTCTAGATGCATATGAGATATTTTCATATATTATCAAACTGTTAGATTGATAAGATACATAAAAATTTTAATTCACCACAAGATTGTATTTCTCTTTTCTTGTACAAATGCCTATTACACTTCAGGTGCTTGGGTTAGAGCTACACAAATCTCTTGTTATAATGTCGCGTCTTTTCTTTTCTGTTGGCCAACCATTTTTCTGTCTATATCTCATAACAGATTTATATATAAGATTCTCATTTGATCATATGATATCATCAATCAAATTATTGTCGAGAATTTTATTCCTTTATTGGTCCCATTTTCTTTTATGACATAATATATTGAGATTTCTTTATTGCTTTTAGACACTTAAACCTCTTCAGGAGTCAAAGAGTTATGTCTTAACTTCTTTTGCAATTCATGCCTCCTTAGTATGATCATCATGATCATTTGCTTCTTTTTCTTTTCTTTTGGAACCAATCATAATCTCATGCTTTTAGCATGTCTTCAAGAATAGGAGCATTTTTAGCTGGAATATAAAAATTAAGAATTCTCATTTGGGTCAGTAATTGCATCTGGCAGACATTAGTAATGTTTGACAAATGCAATACTTTATGAACTTCTAGTTCATACTACTCTATTTGAGGATCTACATTTGATAGTAAAAATGTATTTTATGTGTTTTCTTTTCCAGCTCCATATTTTCTCCTCCTCATATTGGGAACATTTAATGTAGGTCTACCAAATCCATAAATCTGCTTTAAAAACATTATTTTGTTTCATTTAGAGACAAACAAGAATAAGGAGATTCTTATCCAACAGTAATCCCAACTTACTTTTAATATCCATCTATGAGCATTATTGCGGTAAAATAATAGAAATTGCACATTCTAAGATGAAAAATATCTTGCTCCTGACCAAAAGCCAATTATAATGGAAGAATTCACAATACATTGTTGGTTTGATGCATTATGTGTAAAAATGTATAAAATCAATCATCCCAATACTCAAATGGGAATTCTGTTCTCATAAACTCTGATCTAGCTATTTATTGAGGCTTTTACTAAACATATAATCATCAGCAACGAGAAGAACAATCACTAGCAATCTCAACGAGAATCATATTGATTTCATAATCAAGAACTTATGTACTCGATGTAATTATCTAAACATATTGGCAAACTTCATGTTACAAGTTAATCATAAACACCTGTGACCATTTTATAGATGCATCTTTCACTTATAGAGTATTACTTTGGTCCACTTGGTGTCTAAATGGGCCCATATATAAAGTTGATACATTATAAATCTGCACAGATCTGATTTCAAGCATAGCTAGTGATGTTCTCTTATTTAGTTCTTTTAAGAACAAGCAACACATAAAAATTCTTGAATCATGTATCATTTTTAAAGAATCTTCTGGTTCTTTAATAAATGACAATGCACATTTTTCATGATATTTTGTATCATTATAATCTGGGATGATCTGACCGTTTATACCAAACTATGAATGGATAAACTTCTAGTTTATTGTAAAATTATTCTCAATTATTGGTAAACGAACTTATTGTCACCATGTTATATTATTTATCTTTCTCCTTAATATTTCATAAGGAATATGTTATCAATTATGGATTTTATCTCTAGGATAATGAATCATAATACTAACAAATTCCATCCAACATAATTCACACTTGTATTTCAATAATCTCCCCCTCAAGTGTGAGTCATATAAATATATTTTTCTTATTTCTATATTTCAAATAGAATGAATAGCATATAGTAAGCTAATAACATATCTTTAATTTGAAAATCCAAATGCTTCCTGATTCATATATGATAATGGATTTCAATCGAATTGAGTTATCACCTTAAGACCTTTTGATAAACAAATACTCTAATATATATAGTTGCTCAGGAACTAACATATATTGTTTTTTTCACTATATGATATACTTTACTTTTTGTTATGCTTTTTCAAAGTATGATATATATATATATTTCAAAACATAAAATTATGTGGAAATTTTGTTATTCAAAACTTCACTTCTTTGAATATATTATGTAATGCTTCAAAACTTATTCATAAATTTATAAATTCAACAAAAATTTGAAAAGATCTATAAGGGCTAAAAGCAAACTATATAGTTATGAAGATTTAAATCATAAGTCTTTAGGGCAATTTATAAGTCATTAGTCTTCAAGACTCTATATAATAAATATATATATTTTAAAAATCATTTGTATTCCTTGATATTTGAACCATAAGCCTTCGGGGTTTTAAAAATATCATAAGTTATTATTTTCATGTCATTCAATAATACGAGTGTAATGGCTGCTGGCTATTTAGTAATAGGAAATTATAATATTAATAAATATCAAATTGAATGTCAAGAATATATGAGAATAAGATAAGAATAAAACTTGAATTTCAAATTAATTAAATGTAACATGAAATAAAGAGAAAAGATAAACTTTTTTACCAACATATCATTCACTATATAGTTATTAGTTTTCTGGGCTACATTATTTATAATTCTAATTGTCATAATTTTTCTTTTATAAACAAACCATATAATGATCCTTCTCATAATCAAAACTATACGGTTTCAGGCCATTCAATAAAGAAAATAAAGATACATGGCATCTAACTATTTAATTTCAAAATAAAAAAATTAAAGATATATGGTTTCTGACCATAAGATAAAAATTTGATGTTATATAGCTTCTAGCCAATTAATAAAATAACAAAAAAATTAAATATTTATGACTTCCAGCCATAAGATAGAAGATCAAAATTATATGGATACGAGCCATTTAAAAAGATATAGAAAAATTATATATATATATGGCTTATGGCCATAAAATAGGAAATTCAATATGATATATATAAATAAAGATAAATTAAATATATATGATGCTTCTAGTAATAAAATAAAAAATACAAATTATATGGCTTCTAGCCTTTTAATGAGATAAAAAATTCAAATATATATGGCTTCTAATAATAAGATAGAAAATCAAAGTTATATGACAACTAACCATTTAATAAGATAAAATAAATTAAATATATATGACTTCTGGTCATAAAATAGAAAATTCAAATTATATGGCTTCTAGCCATTTAATAAGATAACGATAATCAAATATATATGGCTTCTAGTCATAAGATGGAAAATTTATACCTAAATACTTCTAGTTATTTAATAAGATAAAATATTAAATATATATGGTTTCAAGCCATTTAAAAAAAACAGAGAATTAACCATATATATATATATATATATGACTTCTAGCCATAAGACAAAAACTCAAAGTTGTATAGCTTCTGGCTATAATATAGAAAATCAAAATCATATGACTTTTAGCCATTTAATTTGAAAAGAATGGAAAATCAGAGTTATATGGCTCCTGACCATTTAATCTCAATAAGATGAAAACCTAGAATTATATGGCTTTTGGCCATTTAACTTTAGATGGTAACTCTTTAAGGATACCGCTAGTATCCATTGGAACTTCGGGTTCCATCGAAATAGTAATGTCAGGTCAATAAGGAATAGAGGGGGAGGAAAAAAAATTCTCATCATAATTAGTTCAGATATCAAAATTAAATTATAGCACTAAAAAGTAAAGCAAAATCTCCAATCATAGTCATGGAATCTGATTTTTGAAACAATGGTAGATGATCCTTTTAATTATGTATAATGGCTTAGATTATCCTAGATAAATTGAATAGGCATACGGATACTCTAAAATACCATATATATGATGCTCGAGGTATTTTTATTTGAACAGAGCAAATGATACTCTAGAAAAATAATATAGATGATGCTATAAAATTATGATGGGATAGAAAAGTATATCATACGCACCTTGGTTAAAACTTCATGCTGATAACGTGTTATAAATAAAGAAGAAATATAGAGAAGAATCATATAGAAGAAGAGATGATCAACAAGAGAGAGTACTTCTCATTCCATTCAAATGTGCTTAATACATTATACATTGCCTCTGTTTATAGGCATGACTTTACACTTTCGATATAATCTACAGATGACATAATAGTGGGATATAGAGACAATGGGAGATATTAGATATTATAGGAGATATAAGAGATAATGAGAGATATATGGACATCCACCAAGATATTCATGACAAAAAGTAATTAATACAAGAATATTGAGACTACACCAAACAATTCCCGAATTGAGTTGACATGCTCCCTACCCACTAAACTGTAACACAATGTTTCAATCTTGAACCAGCTTTTCACACTCATCAGCCTAATTAACACACCCACGCACATCACCAAATTGAATTATTCACAATGACATGGCCAGAACTTTCCGGGAAAAAAATGACGAGAAATTAGAGAGACCAATCACAAAGACTGAATCATCAATCACGTCAATCACAGAATATACAACCAAGAATCTTGTGCCAGAAGCTTCTGGGAACTGCTGATGTTGGAGGACAATGTGAATCTGCACATTCAACAATTTCAGATCCATCGACACCGGTCTGCTTTGCCTTCTCACACTCTTTCATGAAGAACTCGAGTGCTTCTTCCACATATTTCACTGCGCCTGCAACGTTCAAACCCTCCACTAACTTGTTAGGGTATATATCTTTCTTGTGATCTCCATTTAGGGTTGCAGCTAACTGCACCAATTCTACTTGAAAATCACTTAATTCTGTTTGTTCATTTGCTTCAGCCTCTCTCAGTTTTGCTGGTTCTGGCAAAGTCACTGCACATTTGCAACAAGCAAAGGTCTAATCCGAATCATGTAAAGTTTATTATATTATGCTTTTGCAAGGTTAAAGGATTAATTATAATTACTTGGACAATCAGTTCGCGGGGTGGGCCGAGTCAGAAGGACCTCGAATGTTGCAGCCCATGCATCACGCTTCGTCAAGAACTCAGGTAGGTTGAACATCTTCTTCACAGTTGCTGGTATAGACGAATGCTCGTATTGTGATGTTGCCTCTGGCCCAGACGCTTCATGCAACACTGCAACAATTATTCATTCAATATTCCATCAATATTTAATTGAATCCATAAATCTCTCATGTACAAGACAAAGCACCAATCAAACACCTGTGCCAGGCTCGATCCAAGGAGAAATGAAGATTGCAGGAACCCTAACACCAAGGCGATCAAACTGAAACTTAAAAGGATCAGGACCGATGATCCCGTCGGGGCTGGGGACTTCGGTCACCGGTGTCGGAACATGATCGAAGAACCCTCCGTGTTCGTCGTAAGTGATGACGAAGAGCATTTCGTTCCACTGAGGACTTGATCTGAGAGCTTCGTAGACTTCTTTGATGAAGTGTTGGCCCTTGGAGACGTCGTGCGAAGGATGGTCGTCGTTGCCGGGAATGGATAACAAGTCCCAGAACCTTTGCTCCAATACCACGTAGTTTGGGAGCTTCCCTTCTTCGCAATGCTTCTTGAACTCTAAGTCGAACGAGTGGAAGTTGTCTATGTTCTTCAGCTTCCTCAGGTTCCTGCCATGTTGCATTGTACGCGTTAAACGCCGCCGTTTAGCAGCTAAAGCAAAACGATTTCTTTTGTTTTCAAAGTCTGATTGATGCATCTGCTAATCCTATTGGATGAAATTCTATTCAAGAAAAAGTCAGGTATTAAATTTGAATATCTCTCTCATCAGAAATTTGAACCTTGATTCACCATATTACTAATAGCCCCTTCTATTAGATCCAATTCTTATTGGTTTAGGTCTTGTTAGTTTTTCAATAATGATTTACGTAACACAATAGAAGGATATGAATAAAATTTTGTCTCAACTTATATAAAAGCACTGAACAAACACAACTACAAACAAGCTCTTTGTAGTCCCTCCTCTTCTTTTAGTAAGTTTCAAATTTACGCAAAAACTAAAAACTTTGCTAAAAAGGGTTTAAAACAGTGAATATGAAAAAATGCAACTAATTTTTCTATAAAAAAAATCTTATTTATGAAAGGCATGAATGGGAGAGAAAATGAGTGAAATAAAAAAAGAGAGAAAATGAGCAGAGAAAAAGGATATGAGTGAGATATATAATTAATTAAAAGTAAACTAAAATTAAAAAAAATATAGTAAAAGTTCAAATGTTATCAAATTATAACTTATATGAAGGATCAATCCCATTAAAAAAAAACTTGAAGCTTATAAAAAGAGTTGGCAGGAGTATATTTTTAAAGGTACTACAAATCAGACTAATCATTAAATTAGTCAAGACTATATATATAATCATGAAATGTGTAATATCATTTAAATAAAATGGTATTAATTCACTAAGAAAATGAAACATTTATGCATAAACGATATATAATTAAACAAAACATATATATAATTAAACAAAACATAGTTACTAAAATAATAGTACACTAATATTTCTATTATCATCTCTCAAACTACAACTATATATCTCTTTCTGCGTTTTCAAGGGGAAAAAAATACAGACGGTTTTAGGAAATCGATGCCATCAAAGAAAATTGCATAAATCTCTTATGAGCTTAGTAAGAATTATTGAATTAACCAATTTTCTCTAAAGCAAAAAATTGTTTGTAGTTTAACCCAACTTAAATTTTAGATAAATCTTACTTTGATGTTATGATATTGCTTAATTTTTTATACTTATTTGACAATTTATTCAAGAATTTAAATACATGCTAACAAAGATGCTTTCTATTCAAACATGATAAATACTCAAATTTGGAGTTCAGTAATAATAGTAATAATAATGCAGTACCACATAACAACATATAGTTATTTCAAAGAAATTTGTTTAGTCCATATATTTAACAAACAAGCTGCAAGTCTTCAAGGCATAATTACATTTTTATTATTTTTAAACATACATAATTTTCAAAAATTATAATTCTCTTATTTAATTTTTAGCATCTCTATTTAATTTTTTTTATATAAATTATGTATTTAGATTCATTGAAGATATGAATTTAATCCTAAAACTCCAAAAAATTAAAGTTAGAATAAAATTAGATGTAATTATTGCCTCCATCATCATAGTTTATGTAGTCTGAATAAAATTTTAAAACTCTATAGTTATTTCTATAATTTGAGTAAAGGTTTAAATTAACGTTTCAACACAAGAGAGGAGTGACCGAAGATGAGTTTTATTGGATTACTTTTCATTTTAATTAACAATGATCTGAGAAAAGTGAAATAATAATATTATTTCTATGAAATATAAGAGGATTTAATAGGGAAACCCAACATTCTAATCTTTTTAATGGTGAAGTTTTACCTCTAACCTTTTAAATTTCATGCAATCTCATCCTTTATTTACGTATTTAAAATCATTCTTTTCCTTATATTTATCTTAATGATTAAAATGAAACCTTTTTTTTTACCAAAACAATTTTGATACTTTTTATCTTCTGAAGTATGAAAAAAAAAACTTTCATACAAAGTAATCAACTTACAATCTCATCAGAAAATTGAAAAAAGAAAGTAAGATTGCATCAAATTTAATAGATCACAGTAAAATTGCACCACTAAAAAATCAAGGTGTTAAGTGTACTTGAGAAATAAGATCAAGGTATTAAAGGGACCTAAGAAATAAATTTAGGGTGTTATGTGCACTTTTATCCTATTTAATACTTTTTTGGTATTAAATATAAGATATATTTTATTGTGTAAATTATACTACAAACAAAATTTTATATTTAGAACTAGAGGGGGTGTAACACAGTGGACAACAAAATTTGAAGGATATAATAGAGAATATCCACAGCTCAATCTCTAGAATATACCAGAGAAGACTCTTTTTTTTCTTATGCCATTCATCCTGTGAATAATTAAAAACTAAAATCCACGAATAAGACAATTATATTTAGAACCACATTCTTAAATTTAAAATGGAGATTTATAAAAATAACAGAAATTATAAAACATATGGTCCTGTATGATTTTTTTATAATTTGAGAACTTGACATAATAAATATAAATAATTTGACCTAAGTAATTTTCTTAATTAAATTCACACTTTTATGCATAGTTAATTTCTTTAAGCTATAAAAAAATCATCATTATTTAGTATTTACAATGAATTCATAAAATTATGACATTTACAATTCTATGCCCTATATAACAAGAGATATATAATTGAGATTGGATTAAAATATAATTATCAAAATAATTTTAGTAGCTTATAATAACTTCTGAAAAGTTCAAAAATTCTAATTAATTTTAACAAATTTTCTGGGTACCTGTAAAATAATTAAAAATGACGCATGCCCATATGGACACACATGCTAAGTTGCATGTGACGCAAGAACATTCTTTTTGTGCTTTAAACATTATTTTATAATTTGGAGTTTACGAAAATTAATACTCCCTCCTGTTCTTAGAGATCCCAAAATTTAATTGTTATAGTCTTTTCATAAGATCCTAATTGTCTAAATATTAAATTTTTTCTATTAACTTTTTCCCTAATTAATGTTCTATTTTCTCTTCTTATCTTTTTATACTATATACTCCTTCTTTTTTAATCTAATTACTAATATTTCTCTTTCTTATTTACTCCATTAAATAGGTACATACTTAAAAAAAATTTTAATTTTTATATATTTAGTATTTTTAACTAATTTAGATTATTTTCCTAAATCGTGTAATTTAATGAAAAAAAAAAACCTTATAAAAAAGAGCGGAAAGAGTGGACGAATGAATCGAATCACACCAAGTACTGCCAACACGAAAAGAAACAAGTCCACAAACTGCCCGCCACTATCCATCAATGTGCAGCTTATTGGGTTTTTATCCAATGCACAAATTTCACTTTACCAAAATATAAAATATTAACAAAATATTTCAGGCCAAAAAAAAAAATATTAACAAAATATTCCACTGTTTACAATTATGAGCGTCATTTCTTTGAATATATACGTCTCTTCAAAGTCCATATAATTTTTAAAAATATATTTCTCAATCTAAATAAATTGGTTGAGAGGGTTGTTTTGGTTAACTAATTTTTTCTTCTAAATTTATAATTCAATTTTCAAATTATCTCTATTAATTCTATTTATTAAAAGAGTTTTTATTTGAAATAATTTTCAGAGCTAATGATTGAATGAGTATTTTAGAATATACATCTTGTACAAATAATTAACTTAATCTTTTAATCTTTATAGGTCAACTATGTAGATTCTACATTTAGCATTGAATGAGCAATTAAAAGGAAAAATGATAGAAAAAGATCGGTTGAATTTTAAAAAAATAAATAGATTATGTGAATTACTCTTGTAATGGTTTTACTTAAATCTGTCAAATTTACTTATTTATTATTTTAAAATTTAGTAGATATGTTTCTGTCACCTTTTCTGATTAAAACAATGAATATGTCATAGTCATCATTTTTCTTTCTTTTGCCCAAGTTGGCGAAAACAACTGCCTCAAGAAACACAAAACGTAGAAGAAAGAGAAAAGTGTACGTGCCTGTAGACGTAGAAGAAAGAGAAAAGTGTACGTGCCTGTAGAACAGCGTGGAGGGAAGGGACTGAAAATAAATCCCAAAAGTGAATCCATTTTCTTCCAACGAATCAAATATCGTCTTCTGCGGCAGACCTCCAATCAGCTTCTTCGTATCGTTGCTCGTCAGCCCATGCGACGTCGCCGAGTGAACGAACATCCGGTTCGGTTGCGTTGACGCAGGCACCGACGCGAACCACCGGTCGCACACCGCAAACTCCTTTACCAGTTTCTCATAAACCGGAACCCGACCCGGCTTGAATCCGTTCATCACCGTCTCCTCCATCTCCTTCCCTTCCTTCTGCCTTCCAGCATTCTGCACGAACCCCTCCATTTTCGCCGGCAGCTTCTTGGCCGCCGACTCCTCACTCCATGGCTCCCCAAACACCTGCTCGTATATGTCTTGAATCGAGTGCCCGGGGTCCAGGTCTACATACACCGACCGGTCTCCAAAGATGACCCGGTTTGACACCGGGTCGGAGGTAGACACCGGGTTCGACTCTGATCCGGTAACGCCGTCGATTTCTGGGTTCTGAGACTTCATCCAGCCAAGCATGTGGTCGAAAGAACGGTTCTCTTGAACCAAAACGACGATCGTTTTGATAGGGTGGGGAGTGGAAAAGGCAGACGAAGCCATTTTCGGAGCTGTGATGTTCTGATTCTAAACCAAGGGAGGCTATATTATATACGCACACCTATACAGGTAACGTGGGAAGTAAGAGATCAGAAGTTGAGAAGGTTTAAACTAATTTTATTTGAAGTTTTGATTCCGTTCGGCTTACTCTAGATGAGACATATATGACTTTAGCAACTTTGCTTCACCATAGTTACTTCGTGTACTCTTTCATACATTATTTTCACTATTTTTTTTTTAGTCATTGTCACCTTCCGTGACTAATATAAAAATTAATTTAATTTTTAAAATTTTAAATATAAGTTTAAATTCATTTTGTCTCTTATATTTATTTGTCATTATCAAAGTAATCATTATACTCTTGTAGTAGTTGCACATATCATAGGTTGTTTGGTTGGATTATAAGAAAGAAGATTACATGTAATCTTAATGCAAATGACTAATTCAGATGTTTTGTTGGACCTATGTGATGGAAAGAAGATTACATTTTTGTAATCTCTATTCCCTTAAATGGCTGCATACAGATTACATATCTATACCCTATGAATGAGGATTACAACATGATAAAATTACACTTTTATCCTTAAAATAAAGGAAGAAACCGCCAACCCTTCTTCCTCCCTACCCATCCACTACTCACCAACAAATCTACTCCAAAGCCTCCGATAGTTAGCGACAACCATCAATCTCCTTGTATGCTTCACCTCCGCATTGTTGTCGCCACCATCAAACTTCTCCATGCTCATTTGAACTCCTTCTGATCATCAGCATCGTCTCCAAAATTCCAATCACTTCGCAAATCCACCTCCCCCATCAATTTCCCTTCAGCAACGACCTCTACCTCCTGTGCCTTTGTAATTTCACTTTTTGTATATATGAATCCAAGCATGTCTTGTTAATTTGAATCCTAATTCATTTTTGCAAATTTGATACCTCTTCCACTTAATGATTTCACAATTCTATTTTTTTTTTTTGTGAACAACTCTATTTTTGTTTTGAAGGATTATTTTTCTGAATATTTATTATGGTAACTGATGTGGGTGGAGGAGGAATAAGGCATTGAATGGAAGGAGGACAATAAGAAAAAAGATGAGGATATTTCAGTCCTTTTCATTTTTATGATTATTAAATTTAATATAAAAATTATTATTCTTTTTAACATTATTAAGTTAAACCAAACAAATTCATTGTAATCTTCTTTGCATTACATTTAATTTCCTGTTATCATATTACATTCTATTACCTATGATTCAATGAACCAAACAGCCCCTTAAGGATTCTATTAAATAGTAGTTAGAGCTAATATATATAATTAGTAAGAGTATTTTAAAGAAAATAACACATATTTATTATAAATAACTAACTTAACAAACTTTCTTAATCTACTCAAATTAGTCAACTAACTCTTATATTAAAGACCAAAGATAGTATAAAAATTACTTAAATAATATGGATAAATTAAAAAAGCCAAATAAATTAACTATAATAAATATGACATCTAATCTTCTGAAATATTCATATATAATATTAGGTGATATATCAATAAATAAGTTTAGTGAATTAGTATGTAAAAAGAAAAATGATAAATATGAAAGACAAAATAAATTGTGATTTTATATTTAGAATTAGTATAAATGCAACCTACTAATTAGCTTCCACATTAGGGATATCAAAAAGAGTATTACAGAAATAAATAGTTAAAATTATGATTGTTTAATAACTTAAAACTTTTATTCATACATTACTACTCATGTACATGATTGGGAAAATTGGGGAAAATTTCCCACTAAAAATTTTATTGGTGAAAAGAACTTAATTAAATTATATGCAAAGAAATTATCATACTCTAATTTAGATTCTTCTCACTGAGTAGTTTTTTTCCCAAAGAAAAGAAACTATAGTAACAATCTTCATCAAGTAGTTTAAAAATATTTTAGATAATGGACTAACTTTATTATGAGCAGTATATCAAAAGGACTATTATGAACATATTTTTTTTTCCATAAAATGTAAATGATATATCTTGCATGTGAGATTTGAGAATATGCCAGAACACTGTATGGTTACGTTGTTACACTAAACATTGACTATTGTTCTTAAATTACGAATTTCTTTTGGTCCAACTTTGCATTCCGAATTAAATTTGAATTATTTAAATGAATGAGCATATGATGATATATATATATATATATATATATATATTAAGAAGCTGGTAATTTTTTGATTTACCAAATAAATATGTGAAAATATTTTTGTCTCGATTTCTGTAAAAATATTTTTAAAAAGTGATTTTTTGAGTAACCAAACACTTTTTAAAGGGGTATTTGAATGGAATAAAAAACTATAGTTTTAAAAGTGTTTTTACAATATGCGAAGTAAACATGTAGAGGAATTTGTCTTGTGTTTGCAGAAAGTGCTTCTAAAAGCATTTTTGGGTGCTTCCAAACACCCACTAAATCTATTTTAACAACGCAAAATCTAATTTTATTAATGCCAAAAAAAAATTTTATGTCCAAAGTGATAACACAAAATATATGAAGTTAAATAATTGCATAGTTAATTATCACAGGATCGATATAAAAAAAAAAAAACCGTAAGACAGTACACCTATTAGTTGAATAAAGAATCAATTTTTTTAATTAAAAAAATAGAAATATACCCAAATTTACCTCTTGTTAATTTGATTGGGGAGGAATAGAAGAGAGGGGAGATTTTAATAAGTTCAGTTTTTTTAAAAAACAATTGACATCTAAGGTTAAAACATTTTCATAAAGAACAGACGTAGAACGAATAAAGGATATAAAAATTAATTAAAAAATTCCAACTCCACCTTTTTTTCTCAAAAAAAAAAAAATCTCGCGCTAAAATCTTTCATTTCCTTTTGTTCTCCACGTTAACATGTGATGTTATAAATGTTAGAAATGTCCACTTCTCCGTTACCCTCCCGTCAATGTGTTCTCCACATTAACATGTGATATTATAGATGTTGGAAATGTTTTGATGGTAGCAAATTAGGACGTATTTGTTTTGTGGGAAATATGAAATCTTTAAGATAATATGAAAATTTTTTCTACTTGAAATGTTTCAAAAATACTATCTCTGCTCTTTAATATAAGATTTAGATTGACTTTCAGTTTGGTTCTAATTATAAGATCACAATCCACTTTGTCTCTTATATTTATTCTTTTTTTTCAAGACAGTCCTTGTAATAGTCGCATGTGTTAAAGGTTTCACAATATGGTAGTTCTAGCCAATACACATGATTAGTAATGATGTTTTAGGAAAAACAACACATATTTATTATAAATAAATAGCTTAACTAATTTTCTTATCGTACTCAAATTAATTAATTAGCTCTTATATTAAGGACCAGAGATAGTATTTGTTTTTCTCAAAACCTCTAACTCTTTGTCTTTAATTATTCTTTACTAATGTTAAGTATTCAACTTGCATAAATATCAAATTTGATCCCGGTTAAAAAAAACTTCAAACTCTATTTAAGTTTAGTTTCTTGTGACGAGTTTTGACATGAGATTGCTCTTCCAGCACTCCATCCAAAACACTTGCATGCTTTGCATCTAAGCAATACCCACAAGGACTCGGAGAGTGTCATAAAGGCAGTTGCCTCACTTCTTCAACAATATTCAAATTAATGACGTTGAATTCTTGATATACTTCTATTAACACAGAGAAAAGTTCTAGAACCATGACAATTAAATATAATCACAATTAGAATTGAGGAGCACAACAAAGGCCTCAAGGCTCACTCTTCTGATGCCTTCCCCTTGCTCCCTATGAGATATTTTACCTAGAAAATGTTAAATAAGTGGGGTGAGTACTAACGTCTCAGTAACCTAAAGTTTAACTAGGTACATACAAGTCATCACACACACGCAATCAATATCCGGCATATACAACTATTAAAATAACTTGTAAAAATCATTAATTAGTAGGCAATATCACTAAAGTTCAAAATAATAACGTCTATATGCAATGGATGCTTGCTCCCTTATTACTCCATCCACTACTAGGGAAAAAAAAAACATTTAACAACACAAAACAACGGTGGTTAAGAAGAAAAACGCTATAGAAAAAAAAACAGTGGTATTTTTGTAAATAATGCCATGACTCTTCATTTTTCATGGCGGTTTTCTTAATAACTGCAAAGGAAAGTTTCAAGTTATACCACGATAGGGTTCAGTTTTTCTTATTTTCACAGTTTCATATCAGTGCATCGTGATCTCCCTTAGCCCCACCACCACCGAACTGTCATCACCGGCCATTTTTCCCTCTTTTCTGCCGTTTAACCTCCTCCATTTCGCTTGTGGTTGCTTGTTGTCAATCGCCATTTCAACGCCAATCTTCTCACATTTGAATTGTTTCTACTGAGTGAGTATCCTCTTCTTTCATTCTTTTTAATTTTTCTTGGTTTCTTGAATGTTTTGACCCTAAAAATCTATTGTATTTCAAATGGGTTGGTTAGTTTTACATTTTGATTGTCTTGCATTGGTGATTTTGCATTTTTTATGTGCTTGAGGTGTTGATTGGTGGGATTGGGTGTGAGAAAACCTCAATTCCTTTCTATATACGGCATTAGAAATATGTTTAAATATTTAAAGTTGATTAGTTTGAAGTTTTTGATTTTTTTTCAATAATTTTTTGATATTTATTTCAAATTTTTGGCATTTTTTTATGTAATAAACTTGTGAATTTAGTAATAAATAATCTGTTCAGTGTTTTGTGATTTTTTTTTTGTTATGAACTTTGATTGATGATAAAGTATTGTTTAAAATTTCATTGTAAATAGATATCATTTGTGTTCCTATTTTGGATTTAGAAGTTTTAGCTTTAAGAATATTTATCATTAAATTGGTTTGAGATTGAATTTTTATTTTTATTTTATTTGTTATATTTCTTCAAATTTATCCTATTTTTGTTTATTACATTGTTAAGTTAGTTTGGTTGATTGATTGATTTGTTTATTTTTTAAATAATTTGGGATTTGTTATAGGAAAAATTAGAATAGAGGACCTAAAGGGAATAATATTTTTACAAAAATTTACTTCTTTAAGTATGTGTTTTAATTTATTTT